TGATTACTGCTACGAATGATTGCTTTCCAATTCAGGCAGCAATATTGAAAATACATAAAGGTCCCTTGGTCATGTAATTAGAACAGCATTTGTAAAGGTTTCACTGTTTGTAAATGGTAGAGGTAGCACAGTTGTTTTCATCGTGTTCTGCTCTATTACATCCTATTGTTCCAAAGAAACCCTGCTAAAATGTACAGTATAAATTTTAAGTGTCAGTGTTAAAAAAGGAAATGTAACAGAATAGGTGCAAAGAAATGATTTCATGTATTAATTAAATCACTGTAATCATCTTCTCCAATATATGCAGCAAAGGTATCAACCCGTATTTGACAGAATTGTCTCCGTATTATTTATATGCTGTGTACTTACATGCCCATTCTACCAGATGTATTCTGTGAAGATTGATCCAATACTATTTAAACTCTATTTCAATATGTGTAGGAAGGGAAACAAAAAAGCCGTGCAGTGCATAAGTGAATATTGTTTATCTGAAGCACAGCTAACTTTGTAGGAAAACATGTACGATGTTAGCTAAAGTCAGTTTGTGTGGGCAGAAATTAAATAATTACTCAGAGAATTATACCTTATTTCTGAAGTTAATTAATTAGGTGTGTTATCCAGATCATCATGAAACCGAATGAGACTGCTGAAAAATGAATATATTCATTTCATACTCAGGCAACCATAAAGGACTCCATGGAAAAAGGTACTTAGAGTTGGCACAGGAAAGCAGAGTATGACATCTAAGTAAAAATATTCCTCACTTCAGAAATCATGCCATGTCCCTGTCCCTGATACTGCTACCCTGAGAACAGATTATTGCATTTTACCTTCACCTGTTCACAAAATGTTTTCCTGTTTTGACATCTGGCCCTGGAGAAGGACAGACATGCTCCACCGACTTCAGGCTAGACACCAGCTACGTTAGTCCTGCTTGCATCTAACTATGTTACTTGCAATGCTTTCAGAGCAGTCAGATTAAAAGCAGCCCAGCTGCATTTGGCCATTACACTGGAAAAACACACAAAAAAAAATCTAATTTACCTTGATGTTTGCTTTCATTAGTGGACAGGTGAGACAATTCTTTTTAAGCATTTGCCTCAACCATAGTTTACTGGAATGAACCATTTATAATGTTTAGAATTTGTAAGCTTGTATTTTCAATACACTTACATAATATTAGTTCTTGTTTGTTTTAACTTCATCTTCAAAAAAAAGATATTTTAATACATTTTCACCTTCTAAGTTATCTTTTTTTTTTTTTATGGTTTGTTACTGTATATCTTCTCTAGTGAACCATTTCATTCATTATGTTCATTCATTCATTAGCGAACCACTGACATTTGGATAAACCCTTAACAGACTATCAAGAGAGAAAAGCTTCATGCTCATTTTAATACTTTTGTTAAGCAGAAGAGGAGACTGCAAGGAATAAGAAATAAAAGATCTCATCTCAAATCTGTGGATCTCATCTCAAATCTGTGGATCTGTCCAATGCATAGACTACTGTAAAATAGACTAGTGCTTTCAATAAATCCTCCTTGAAAATAATGAATCAAAAGTCTGAAACTTTGACATTGTTTAGAAACTTCTTTGTGAAGTCTGAAAATTTTTCATTGTGTTTGGATTGCAAACTACCAGAAAGGATCTAGAAGACAGGTTTAAATGCATAATATCAAGTAGATTTCCCATCTTCCCATTCTGGCTCTCTAGGAGCTGACCCAATGTTAGTATCTTCTTACTTGCAAAAGTGTGCCCATCTGAAACTGCTCTAAGGCCACATGATAATACTTCTCCCCCATATTTTGTTCCCGGCTTTTAATCATGTATCTCTTACAGTCAGACTGGCAGTGTTCTGGGAAGCTGTGGGGAAGGTGCTGGTACCATGAGGCCCAAAAGGAGTCCTGGCAAGTTCACACTAGGAGGCTTAATCTGTCCATCCTGGGCATTCTCAAAATTCTCAGCCTGGGCAGGCTCAAAATATTTTCTGGGGTAAGAACAATGGTTCTGCTTTGCCATCATGCCCAGCTATGGTAATCAAGCAGCAAGATGGCCTGGCTGGTCTACCTAGATAGCTCCAATCACATTCTCTGCTGATACTTTCTATTCCCTTTTCCTCTCCTATTTATTTATTTATTTATTTATTTCCTTTCTACCAGCCTATCCCCTAACAAATAAACAACCTCTCTCTCCACCCCCTCCCATCCTGTTTTTGGTACATCTGTACCTGAATTTGATATTCCTGATATTTCTGCTGCTGTTATGCCTGTGATTTCAACACATATGGTATTGCTGATATGGCTTCCAAGATTTCCTAAGCCTTGAAAGATTCTTCTTCCCAAAAGCCTTCCGTACTCTTCTTTTGTGAAGTCTGACTGTTTCTTGCATATCTGCACCTGAACCACCTGTGAAATCCACCTATCCCTCACAGCACTTCTGTAACATTTTTTTGGTTTCTCATGCATCCATGTTATTATGTCCAGGAGTTTCTCAGGTCCAGTAGTTTTCCCTGTCCAATTCAACTAGCTTAACTCCAGGCCAAGACCTAGGCAGTCATCAGCCTGCAACCCCAGCACAGTAGAGATAGCCTGAATGAAAACAAACAAACAAAACAACAACAACAACAACAAAAAAAACAGCAGAAAAGGATGCCTTTTAATAAACCTAAAATATCAGTTTCAGAACAAAAAAAAATGCTTAAGAAGAATGTAAATGCTTGCTTCAACAAGTATGGCAATGTATTTTAGAGCACAGTCTTGTTCCAAAGAGTAAGTAAAAATCTCATTTGTACTACATTCATGAGAGCAATCCCCATTGACGGGATAAACAGCCTACAGAGTAATGATGCAGATGCCCTTGCTTACTGAAAAGAGAGGATAAAAGCAATGTGCTCCACTGCCTTATTCATGATGCGTCACTGTCTTCATGAATAATAGGTTATGTGATTTAGTAATTAAATATCTTTTGCTACTTCCCACCTTATGTAATTACATTTACTTTTAGGACTATAGCACTCAAAATGATCTCCTGACCCATCAGATCCATCCAGCTGTGATTACAGTGAGCCATTTAATAAATATCTCATCTAGAAAGGGACATACTGACACACAGTGCATCACAAAGTGCTTCAATGCCTTAGAAATTAAGATCTTTAGTGTAAAAATATCACAAAAAGAGGAGGAAGGCATGAACAATGAAGTGTATCAGCAATCCCCATGTCAGTAGAATGGCAGATAACTTTTTTTGAGGTGAATATGCTCTGATGAGCCTGGGAAACAGATGACGCATGATGATAAAAATAACTTGGTCAACACAGCAGCAAAAAATACGACCACATCAGGATGATGAGCTTTTCTAGCAATTTTGTACCCATAAATGTGACTATACATATAATAATCCTGTGGAAAATTATAGTATGTACCCTAAAGTGCAGAAGTAAAATTGTGCAAGGATTTTTAACTTGCAATTTCTTTTTAAATTTATTGCATGATCTTTCTTCTATTTCTTTTAAGTTTTACTTTTTCTTAAAAATGTTGATGTTTGACTTTCTATCAAAAGGCATTATATCGATCAGTGCTCAGTAAGGGTAACTTTATGGAGTTAAAAGTTTTTTTAGACATCCTAACCTCCAGGATTCTTGCAGGAAACTTGCAATCATTATTAGAACACATATTTGTATTATCAAAAGAGATCCAGCAGTTACTTATTTTCAGTGCGTTTGAAGTGCATATACAACTTGGACATAAGCTAAACAAATAAACTTTTTTTTATTTATTTTACTTTTTTTTTTTTTTAATTTGAAGTAATATTTATGTTACACTTACAGAACAGCTAGATTTAGGTACAGTATTTCAGGCATGCAGTGGAGAGCATCACACACAAAAAAAGGGATATAATTTACTAATAAATAATAGAATCATAGAATTATTAAGGTTGGAAAAGACCTCAAAGATCATCTGGTACAACCATCTCCCTACCACCAATGTCACCCAATAAACCATGTCCCTAAGCACCAGGTCCAACCATTCCTTAAATACCCCCAGGGATGGTGACTCAACCACCTCCCTGGACAATGCGTTCCAATGCATGCCTACTCTTTCTGAGAATAAATGTCTCCTAATTTCCAACCGAAACCTCCCACAACCGCTCTCTCACTCCCCCTCCTTTAGATGAGGAGGGGGAGAAGAAAAGCAAAGAACAACTCACGGGTTGAGATAAGGATAATTTAATTAAAGGGAAATAATTATAATAATTAAATAAAGACTACCATGAACTAAACAATTTAACTAAGGGGAAATAAAAAGGGAAAGGGGAAAAGGGAGGGGAAAACAGAAAAATAAAAAGAAGGGAGGAAAACAAACAAACAAAATAAATGAAGGCTATAGGGAAGTGCAGAGGAAAGAAATCACTCTCTACTTCCCACAAATGAGCGATGATTGACCATGTCCTTGAAGCAGGGCCTCAACGCACGCAGCCGGTGTTCGAGAGGAGGACCCACGTTTTCTCCACGAGAGCCCACCCCTCCCCTCTTCTTCCTGTTTCCACCTTTCATTGCTGAGTGTGACACCACATGGTATGGAATATCACTTTGGTTGGTTTAGGTCAGCTGCCCTGGTGATGTTTCTCTCCTCACTTTCTGCCCACCCCCTAGGACGGTTAGAGAAAGGCCCGATGCTGTGCCACTGCTGCTCAGCAGTAGACACAACACTGGTGTGATAACACTGCTGTTCCAGCTACAAGTACAGAGTACGGCACTGTATGGGCTGCTGCCGGGAAAGTTAACATTCCAGCCAGACCCAGTACACGGATGCAATGTGAGGCCATTCCCTCTAGTCTGGTCACTAGTTTTCCGTGAGAAGAGGCCGACCCCCAGCTCCCCACACCTTTCTTTCAGGTGGTTGTAGAGAGCAATAAGGTCTCCCCTGAGCCTCCTCTTCTCCGGGCTAAACAACCCCAGTTCCCTCAGCCACTCCTTATAGGACTTGTGTTCCAGGCCCTTCACCAGCTTTGTAACCTAATGCAGTCCCCCGCTAACACAAATTATGCAGTGGAGTTTCCTGCATTTGGGAAAATCACAGGGCTCAGCACACCCGGAATGCAGGGGATGATCCTTACCCTAGGAAAACCACCTGCCTGATCATGGTGTTTCTGTGCCAGGTAAGTATTTATATACTTATTATACTTTATTATTATACTTATTATACTTTACATACATAGTATTTATAGTATAATTACTAGTATAGTCTAATTACTAGTAATAATTACTAATTTGTTTATAATTTACTAATAGTCTACTCAGCTTTGGTGAGGCTGCACCTGGAGTACTGTCTCCAGTTTCTCTGTCTCCATACTGGAGAGAGTCCAATGTAGGGCCACAAAGATGATCAAGTGTCTGGTGCATCTTTCCTATGAGGAAAGGCTGAGAGAGCTGAGATTGTTCAGTCTGGAGAAGAGAAGGCTGAGGTGGGATCTCATCCATTTATATAAATACCTGAAGAGAGGATGCAAAGAGGATGGAGCCAAGCTCTTTATGGTGGTGCCCAGTGCCAGGACAGGAGGCAATGGGCACAGACTAGAACAGAGGAGGTTCCTTCTAACATCAGGAAACACTTCTGTGCAGGTGACAGAGAACGGGCACAGTTGATTTTGCACATGATTTTGAAAACACTTTATTGCATGCACATATCTGTTAAGTTTTATAAAGCAGTTGTTTTGCTGTACATTGTAATTTTTTAATTTATTATTAAGAATTATATGAGTTTATTAAAAATTAATTAATTATAACTTATTAGTTTCAGGCATGTTTGTTAAACTAATGAAAAATCTTTCCAAACATTTATACGTATCTGATAATTTCATATTACAAGAGAACTATGATCCTCTAAGTGAATTCCTCTAAGGACCAGTAACTTTTCACTGCTTAAAAACAATGCTGCTTCTTAATATTTTTGCGATATATAGGTAATAGGTGGCAACTATAAGAAACAAAATGATGATGTATTAATCTATAATAGTATTCTATACTGTATGTTATTCTATACTGTATGTTATTTAATGTCCCTTCAACTAGATACCTGTCTGGACATTTCAAAGACTATCTTACCACATCTCAATTTAATTCCACATTTCAATTTTTCTGAAAAAAATCAATTAAACATTTTTGTGGGAAAAATTTTAAGCTCCCAATTTAACTAACTGTTAACTGTTAACTAACTGACTAACTGTTAGTTACCTGCTTCCTGAGTTTCCTGAGTGTTTTTTCAATTTCATAATAGATTTTCATTGCTTTTGCTACTTTAAATATTTTTAAATAATTCATTTAAGAATTTATCTTTGAATTGTATTTATCTTTGAATGTAATAGAAAGTGTGAAAATATTGTGCAGATTGTTATATATGGCATTAAGATCACCTTAATTTGAACTGTACACCTACCAGCTATAATAGCTGTCTTTAGGAAGAGAAGAATTAGAAGCTTCAGTTTTGTAAGTTCCTAGAATACATGAAAGTCATATATCTTTTGCATATCTTTTTTTACAGTACCATAAAAACTAAAATAGAAGCATTCTACTGCACAATTATCCTCTCTGATCAAAAGGTCAAATGGATTGAAACATCTGCAAATCCACACAGTCACAGTAGCTAAGTTTGATAAAGAAAAAATCTGGCATCTGAAAGAAATCTTAGTTACGAATCTGAAGGTCAAGATCATTACATCTGATGTGTATCAATAAACATGTCAAACTTACCCATTTTGTTCAATCAAAGTCTTCCAAATATTTAGTAATGAAAACATGTGAAAGCCACCAAGCATTATATTCAGAAGTGTCTTGTCGTGGTTTAACCCGGCCGGCAGCTAAACACCACGCAGCCGTTCGCTCACCCTCCCCCCTCCCTCTCTGGGACGGGGGAGAGAAATGGAAAGTGAAGCCCGTGAGTTGAGATAAAGACAGTTTAATAAGACAGGAAAATAATAATAACAAAATAATAATAACAATAATAACAATAATGATACAATGGTGATAATAGGGAAATAATAATAATATGTACAAACAAGTGATGCACAATGCAATTGCTCACCACCCGCTGACCGATGCCCAGCCTAACCCCGAGCAGTCCGGCCCCCTCCCCCCGGCTAGCCACCCCTATATATTGTTTAGCATGACGTCAGATGGTATGGAATACCCCTTTGGCTAGTTTGGGTCACCTGTCCGGGGTCTGTCCCCTCCCAGCTCTTACTGCACCCCCAGCCTGCCCGTTGGCAGGACAGAGCAAAAGGCTGAGATGTCCTTGGCTTAGTATAAGCACTGCTCTGCAACAATTAAAGCATCGGGGTGTTATCAGCACTCTTCTCATCCTAAGCCAAAACACAGCATTCCACCAGCTACTAGGAAGAAAATTAATTCTGTTCTAACTGAAACCAGGACATGTCTGTACCCTCTAAATCATAATAGATATGTCATGGCCATGACAAAAGCTTAGAGAGACACAGCTTGAACATGATACACTGAGAATAATGAATGCCAGGAGGCCTAATGAGAGATTATTTCAATGTAATCATGATGGTAGTAAAAATTGGCAATTCTAGCAAGTAGTGACCAATTTTCACAAGAGTCAGAAATGGGATTATGATACTTTTCTGTACGTCTACTCTATCAAGAGTTAATTTACAATTCCCAGCACAAATTATTATGCACAGTATAAGCATTTAGATACCAAAGAACTGTTTAACTTTTTTTTTTTCATCTTTGAGATTCGCTTTTCAAGAACATTAGGTGTTGGAAATTTTAGGAAAATCTACTGCCTTACTTAAGGAAGTATCATATAGAAATGGATTAGGTACATATTGATATAGATACATTACTTAATTATTTTGAAAAATAAGATCTAAGCAAGAAAAAACAAAACAAAACACTATTTGTTTTGGTAACAGTCGAACTTCTACTGAGAAGAATTCTAAACAACTAAAAATATTCTGACATTTTTCTAAAACTGAGGCTAAATTTAACTTCATTTTTCTAAATGAGAAAGGATGAATTTTGAGGAGGAAACAGATATATTTGATATGTTATTATCTTTTTTTTTTTTTTTTATTGCTACCTGTATTTACTTGCAATTAATAGTTTGATCACAAAATGTAAGCATAAGACATTATAGTAAAAAAAGAAATAAAACTGGAAAATTACAGCTTGCTAGAGCATTTTTTTCTCTCTGATCAGATGAGACCATTTCAATTATAGAATTGGCCAAATTTGAATAGTTATGCCTGGAACATAAACAGCTCATATATTTCCAAGTCAAGTTTTATTTTTTGGCAGGTTTGATCAAATTTTCACCACACACAGAAGGAATATGGAAGTACTACAGCATGTTTTCTCTAAATTCTTATCGTCCAATTCACTGACATTTTGGAGAAGCAGACCAGGAGGTCATCACAGAACGGGCCTTCATCCTAGAGAAACATGTAATAAATTAACTTGTTACAGTCACTGTATATAGTTTGCATGCACTTCCAGTTCATGATGCCACAGAGATCACCTCTGGAACTGTGGAATCCCAGAGTCATTAGAGTCTATCATCAATTCATTTCTAATATATGATTTAATGCAACTCTGATAATTCACTATATCATATTAGTAAGGGCTTCCTTAGTGTGAGGAAAGAAACATGAATTATATCCTTCTCCCACCAAAATGATTTCCCCCTCTGAACAGATATGAGACATATCCAATACATATTATTTTTGGTCAAAATTCCATTTAAGTCAAAAGCAGGTTAAGCAGCTGTATAAAGAAATGGTCTATAATGGTCTATTTTTACTTTTGATAGATTGACAGAGAAAGTCTTTTTGAAAGTTTTTTTCTTAGCAAAGCATGAGTATGAATGAGAAAGCCCAAACAGAAGAGTGTGTTGATGTCCTTTTTTTTTTTTTTTAATAACAGGGGGGAATCCTTGACCAGGTTTAGTGTAACTCAGCTAAACAATGTCCTGGTGTCAGCTAGGATAGAGTTAATTGTCCTCCTGGTAGCTCATATGGTGCTGTGTTTTGGATTTAGGATGAGAATAATGTTGATAAAATGCTGATGTTTTAATTGTTGCAGAGCAGTGTTTATTCTAAGCCAGGGACTCTTCAGCTTTTTGCTCCATCCTGCCAGTGGGCAAGCTGGGGGTGCAGCAGGAGTCGAGAGGAGATGGATCCAAGACGGATCCCAAACCGGCCAAAGGGGTATTCCATACAATCTGACATCATGCTGAATAATTAATATGAGGTGGCTGGCTGGGATGGTGGGACCAGCTGCTTGGGGATAGGCTGGGCATTAGTCAGCCGGAGGTCAGCATTGTGCATCACTTGTTCTGTGCACATTATTAGAAGTAGTACTATAAACATTATCATTATTTTCATTTATTTTCTGTCCTAATAAACTGTCTTTATCTCAACCCAAAGGATTCATTTTTCTGATTCTATTCCCCATCCCAGAGAGGGAGAAGGGAGAGAGAATCAGTGAATGGCTGTGTGGTGCTTAGTTGGGTTAAACCACAACACTAATGATATGTAAAGCTGCTGGTCATATGTTCATAGTATAACTCTGGTTGGTTAGGACATCACAAAGCTTCTTGTCTAAACCCCCAAAGGAGGGTTAGCTGTGATATCAAACCAGGCTACCTGTTTTTTTTTTTTTATTTTTTTTCCATTTCAGTCCGGGCAACTTTTAACACTGGAAACTTCACAGCTTCTCTGGGCAGCCTCTTTCAGTGTTTTATTTTTATTTTTGATCATCAGAGAGCAAATGGCATGAGTTTGGGAGGACAAGGGAGACTTCACTGACATGGAGCACAGTCCCACAGTACCGGTGCAGGGTGAACAGAGCAGGTCCAGTGAAGGTAACTATAGTCAACCACAGTCCAGCAGCCACTAGATATGTTTGCAGTTACAAAACAGGTCCAAAGTCAAGTCAAAACAATAAGGTAAGTGGTAGAGCACAGCATTCACACTCTGGAGATCAGGCAAGGATCAAGGCAAAAGTTCTGAGCTTACATCCATCTCTTGGTAAGAGGCTGCCTGGGTGGAGATCCCAGATGAGGCTAGTCAAGGTACTCAGAACCTTTAGGTATACGTATGGCCCAAACAACAAAAATGAATGCTTGATAATTACTTTGCAATTTTT